AACAATATTTACCTATATCATCAGATTTATTCCTGTGTGATGAGAACGAATCTGATGATTATTTCTTTTGCAATCACAGATGACAATTTTGATACAATAGTCCTGATAGCAGCAGAAGGCATGAAGAATATTAGTAAAACAGGCCGAAATAAAAAGAATATAGAACAAAAATACATAAAAATACCACAAAAGATGTTTAGAATTGGCTAATGAAACTGTACATATGTACCTGCTGTCTTTGAAAGTTGGGCTGATGTGCCAGTTTTCGAAAAAATTCAAACATTTTTTCAATAAAATTTATGGTCATACACACCATCAAAAGCTCCCCACCCTCTTGATCTTCATACAGTATGTCCCCACCAGTAACCCAACCTAACCTAACTCTTTAGGATTACACTAGCTAAATAGTCCCTAGCTAGAGGGTTTTGCTCCTTAGATTCTCATGAGATTTCTACAGTATGTTTTTACCTGGATCCCAATTGGGTTTATGCAATATGCTAAAACTATTTAGTCCCTTGCCTGGGGGCTCTGCCCCTGGACCCCCATAGTGATTATGCAATACATCATAACCATATACTCACACTAACTGCCTAGTCAGGGGGCTCCACCCCTTGGACCTCCATGGTAAATGACCTGAAATAGATTTGGGATACAATTTGCTCACATCAAATTTGATTGAGTTTTCTTGGTTTAAATTGCAGATTACTACATTTACTTCTCCAAATAATTTGCTTGCTGAAGGCTACATAACTTATTATAGGGAAACGCTGAACTTTTCTTTGCTTTTATCTATTGTCTGACTAGCTTAGTTTCTAATGGTTTTTACCTCTGCCAAGGGTTATATTTTTGGTAGCTTTGGTTAGTTTGTTTGCTGGTTAGATGGTCAGCAGGATAACTTGAAAAGTTATGTTCATATTTTTATGAACCATTTACCAGAGTTTTGTCTTAGCCTGACATAGATGCCATTAAATTTTGGTGGTGATCTGGATCCAGCAATTTTTTGAGTGATTGCATAGTTACCTCTATGGCCTTGGTGGAGGTATGCACTCTCAGTGATGCTAGTTTAGTTGTTGTTTTTTTTATTATTAAACTGTGATAATTGCTATATATATTTTTATATCACCACTACATTGTTTTATAAATGACCTGGAATCAATGCATTACTTAAAATGAAAGATTTCTCACCAGTGTTTGTCAAGGAATGTAGTCTCCTGATGCTGTCAAAATTCTTGGTTGCAAAAACATGCATGTGTAGGTTATTGTAAAGAATAGCATTAAAACCTTTAAAACATGTTAAAGAGGTATAGTAATAAGAAGAGAATGCATTAAATACATTAAATAGGGAAAGCAGGCATTAATGATTAGAAAATTATTATTTTACAAGCATGTAGTAATATGTGAACTACTTTACACAGTAGTTATGGGGCTAGAGTACTTGAACCATTAGTCATCGCATAAAGAAGGAAAATATGTAAATGAGAATTGTGCATAGAACTGTTCACTCATAACAACTGGCAAAATTGTGGGCAAAGAAGATACGACAATGATCTTTACACCTACTACTATGACATCAAACCCTATTTATGAAAGTTTTCGATGTCTTTTGTTCTGTGTGCCATCCCAATACCTTGCTCGTTTTTGTCATGGGCTTAGGAGACGGAGATTGGAGCCCAGTGTTGGGATTGCCTCTACCTTGGACTTCAGCCACCTCCTCAACTAATTTTGCTTGGTCTTTTCTTTTCCTCCTCTCCTCTTCCGTATCTTCTTCATCCCTTTCTTCTGTCCTATTCCTAAGGTGTAAGAGCTGTGCTGAAAGGATGAAAGGCTGGCTTTATGTCACTCATGACATAAAGATTAATTGCCTTGCCCTTACCCCTTATGGGGACACTAAGGGGTAGACCGTTTCTTTTCCCCATTTTATTCAGGCTCACCATGGCCAATAATGAAGATTCTTTATCCTTAATAGGGGCATTAAGGCTTACCCCTTCATCAACTAGCCTATCTGGTTTCGATTTTGATGCTTTTCCAACCCCTGCTCCTCCTTTGAGCACGGCTCCAACCACTGATACTAATACCATCTCCTTGACATTTACTGACAACTCTATCTATTCTGAACCACCCACCCAGGTTTTTACTCAACCTCCAGAATGCACCCCTTCCTCCCAACATTCTCTTCTCCATATCCTACTGCACAGTCTTCTTCAGTGTCTACCCCCTCTTCCCTTATTACTACTCTTCATCCTTATTGTTCTCCCCCCAACAGAACTATTCCACTTTACTGTTACTTTACTATTTACTTTACTATTATTTACTGTACTATTTACAACAGAACTATTCCATGGCTGCAATGAAGCACTGCTTATGTTGGTGCATGAAATGTAGTCTGCTGTAGATAAGGGTCATGAGTCAGGACTTGTCTTGCAGGATTTTAGTGCAGCATTTGACACTGTTAATTACAAGGGTTTAATTTTTAAGTTACAGTCTTTTGGTCTAGGTGGTAAAGTTTTAAGTATTTTAACTGAATTTTTACCTGGTAGGCAGCAGCGTGTTCATGTTGATGATGATCTTATATACAAGCGATATGTGGTCTGGCATTACTAATAAAATGTTGGCATATGCTGATGATACTTCTCTCTATGCTGATATTCCTTCTCCAGCAACTAAGCAAATAGTAGCAGACAGTCCCACTGTAGACCTGAGGATGATTCAATCTTGGTGCTCTCGGTGGGGAATGAAATTAAATCCTACTGTCTAAAGAAATGATTGTGAGTCGGTCTCGAACGCAGTTGCCTCAGCATCCAAGTCTGCTGGATAACATGAAGCTCTTAGGTGTAACCTTTGATTCAAAGCTTACATTTCAATTGCATATTAGGAATATGGCCCAGGCAATTTCATCAAAGTTAGGCATCATTCGCAAGTGGAAGAAAATTTATGAAGATGACATTTTTTTTATTCTGCCTCATTTTGAGTATTGTTTTCCTGTGTGGTTATCTGCTGCAGACTCACACTGAAGACTGCTTGATCATTCTTATATTTCCATTAAATTTCGTCTGTCTGACTTAAATTTGGACATTGGACATCGTAGAGTTATTGAGGGCCCTTTATACAAGATATACAAGATTATAACCGATAATTCACATCCCCTCTATAAGTTTTTACCTGATTTTTATGAACCTGCAAGAATTACCAGAAGTTCTCTATGACCCTCAATTCAATAACATTTGATGTAAGTTGATTGTCTACAAGTCAGTTTTCTAGATGCTTATTTACTGCTATTTGTAAACTTTGGAATAGATTGCCTTCAGAGATTGTAACTTCTTTGACTCTTGATAAGTTTAAAACGTCAACTAACATGTTTTTCTTACGTAATTAACTGACTTTCTTTTTTTCATTCTTTCTTAGCTGTATCTTGACCTACACTGATACCTTTGGTGGTATAAATTTCGATTTTTTCAGTGTGGCTCATTATATAGCTTAATATGGTAATAATAATAATGATAATAATAATAATAATAATAATAATAATAATAATAATAATAATGATTTACACCATCCCATCTTCCTCTGGCCCTGTCCTTCTATTGTCTCTATCTCTGCAAACCTTTTGAGTACTCTCTTTGGCCCAGCCAAGTGGGATCGAATCTTTTGTGATTCCCCCCACAGCCCCCTACTCTGAGAATACCCTTCTCCAAAAACAAGTAGGCAAAGTCACCTCGCGTAGTCGCTCTGATCGTTCACACCACAGTTACATCAGAAGCCCAAACTCATGCACTGTTTACCCTAACTGACCTTACTGGCAAACCCATTCCTGCCGAACATCACCCCTCTCTTAATTCTTGTACTGGAACTGTTTCTATCGCCCCGACTGATTGTCCCATATATGACAAGAACTGATCAGCATTACAGTGCTACACTAATCATCCCAGAGGCCAGCGTAAGTCCCATGTCAATATTGCCAAGATTCTGTAGGCATGACCACCCCATGAAGTTTATATTGGTGGATTGTCCTACCATCTCTGACCATATCGACCCCGTCCCAGTCAATGTCAATACTGTTGGCCAAACACTTTCGCTCCACAGTCTCCTGCTCTCTGTGTGCCCAACCTGGTCATCACCGTTCAATTTGCCCTGCTCAGACACGTACATATGCCAACAGTGGTGACTCCCATAACGTATTTCATAGGAGCTACTCTGCCTATAAGCTCGAATGTGAGGAAGCAGTTTTCAGATTCAAACTAGGCCTCACTCTACATGAGGCTAGACAGGAAGCACGATGACAAGGTTTTTCCCTCTTTATCTATTCCAAAATAGTCCTTTGCTCTGCACCCCCCCACCCTCGCATCTCTACAAGATGTTTCTACATCTCCCCCAGTATCTCTCCCCTCTACCCTGAACCATGCTACTTCTACTCTCCCAATCTCCAAGTCATATCCTTTTTCCATTGTAAATCCAGACACTCCAGTCTCTACCACTTCTCCAATACCTACCCTTCCTCCCCCTCACTTTACGTGTCGCACCATACAACCTAATGGCTCTACTCCATCTTTACCTTCCACACCCTCTCCTGCATCCTCCTTTTCTTCTGCTCCTTGAACATCTGTCTCCTCTTCTCCTCCTCACAAGAGATCCTTTGTTTCACAGACTGCCTTTGTAAATTCTCACTTCTATTACTTCTGATTTTAATAACTCTAAGCCTTTTTTTTTGTGTGTGTGTGTGTGTGTGTGTGTGTGTGTGTGTGTGTGTGTGTGTGTGTGTGTGTGTGTGTGTGTGTGTGTGTGTGTGTGTGTGTGTGTGTGTGTGTGTGTGTGTGTGTGTGTGTGTGTGTGTGTGTGTGTGTGTGTGTGTGTGTGTTGTATAGATGTCATATAAGCAGCAACACACTACATATAATTACAATTAAAATATCAAATTTGAGTATGATTACTGGTATGCAGTATGGTAGCTTACTAAATGTTCATTCATAAGTTTTACATTACTTAGTATTTCCCCTATACATGAC